TTCCCCACCATCCAGTCAGAGCCGAAGAAGCTTCTTGGATGAGAAGCGAAACACCTTCAAAGAAAAAAACAGGTGCATCTTGAAAAACTGCACCTTTGGGACAAGCATGACCTGGATGACGGACAATCTCCATAGACACGTCAATCTCTATCCTGCGAGTAGATTCGACATACCGTGAAGTTTAGGGGTTCATTGGACCTCAAGTAGTTCTGTTGGTCTGGATGTGGAGGGCATGGCCATCAGCTCCTGGCAATGGTGAGATAAGACTGACTGTTACTTGAGTTGACTGGCTGATAGGACTCCCAAAATAGTTAGTCCTCAACGTACAACCAGAACGGAGCCAAAAATTTCTATTGCTAAACAAGACAATTAAGTGTACACTGCCCAGAGTCGTCGTCGGATATAAAATGGGGAGGACAGGGAATATATTTCATAATAAATATGTTTTGCCCCATTTTATGACCCTTCTTGCCATCGTTAAGGGAATCACTGCAGTTGTTAAGGAAGTCACATGGCTGTTAAGTCAGTGATCCCAACCTTTTTGACGCCGCAGCCCAGTACCGGCATCAGCTGGGCGCCGCGGCCCAGTACCGGCATCAGCTGGGCACCGCCATCTTTTTTTGATGAAAAAGTGCTTCCGGTGAGCTTTCTACCCGGAAAAGCTCACCGGAAGCACTTTTTCATGAAAAAAAGATGGCGGCGCCCAGCAAGCCGCGGCCCGGTAGGAGTTGTTCCGCGGCCCGGTACCGGTCCGCGGACCGGTGGTTGGGGACCCCTGTGTTAAGTGACTCTGGCTTCCCCATTGACTTTGCTCGTCAGGTCCCAAAAGCGGCTTCAGACAACCCCCCAAGACTGTCAACTCATAAAGCATCCCTGGACTCCTTTTGAGTTGCCATAGGGAGGAGGGGGGGAGAACCTGAAAGAACAGTAAGGCAATCAAAACCGGAAGTACATTCCACACATACCTTACCAAGGCTGTATCCCAGGTGACCAATCCAGTTGGAGGGGATGTGACCTCTAGGGCCCGGGAAAGTTCTCTGTTGGAGAATGTGATTCATGACACATCCAGGGAGGGGAGGAAACAGGGTCATAGGTGCACTGTAAATTACATGAGTCAAAGCTGGCTTCATTAGGATAAGTGCCCAGCATGTTGTTCCTAATAAATAATTAGATTTCTTTTGAAATTTGGCTCAAGGCTCATGATTTGATTAGAGCATTTGTCTAACACGGCAACCATCATAAATATGACTCAGTTCCCAAGCGTCGTCTACACTCCTGTGAAAAAAGTCACTTTTAAAACTTTCTTCAGTGCCATTGTAACTTCTGTCATTAAGCGGATAGTTCTAAGCTGAGGACCGCCTGTGTGCTTAGTCTAATAGCAATTGTGATGACCCCAGGGTGGGATACAAAAGCAACGGTCACAAAAACAGGTGAAGTCCCTTTAATTCCTTCAACTTGTCTTCAAAGCTCCAATTATCATTGACTGCAGAAAAAAACTCCCCCACAAAGTTGCGAAAAGGACGTAATTCCGTTCAAACTCAAAATATATATAAATGTATTATAGAAAAAAAACAACACAAACCACACTGAAGCAATTAGTGAGACAAGGCAAGATAAGGGCTTGAAAACATCCACAGATATCGAAGTACACACACACTGGGAAGGACACCAGAACTCAGATAAGAACTGAAAGACTAGAATTATTTCACGCTTTACTTCCAGCACTGGGCCATGAGCGGTTTGTCTTTTTAAACTTTCCTCCCAGCTGCAGCCCATGAAGGGGATCAAGGCCCTTTCCTCTCCCATAGACCATGCCATTCACGTTTCTCCCTTATCCGTTCCTCCCTGCATGACCTAGGATGAAGAGGGGATGGGCCTGGGTCTTCCTCTGACTGCCCAGCTGGCCTGTGCCCTTCCCCAGTTTCCTCCACAGCCTCCGGAGCCACACTTCCACTGTCAGCTGCTCCTCCTCTCCCTCGGAGTCAGACTCCAACAGGGGCATGACAATGACTCAGTTGCCAAGCGTCTATACTCTGCTGAAAAAAAGTCACTTTTTAAACTTGTCATTAAACAGACAGTTCCGAGGACAGTCGAATAGCAGTCTTCAAATATTTCAAAGGTACACCAATATCTCTTGTTGCCCTCAAGCGAGCTTGTACCGCAACAAACTTTGAGCTCAATTATGTGGGCTCAATTGTGGTTGTGTAAGTGAAGGACTGCCTATATACCCACCTACCCACCCGTGTTTTTTGTTTTTTTTAATCTTTTAACTGCAACACCCAGAATTATAACTCCTAAAATAGGCTCCAGCGCGGGGAAATTGGGGTCTTTTTGCTGCTCATTTTGCAATCAAGGGATGATCGATGCATTTGTTGAAATTCAGGATGTGCCATTTTCAAAGTCATCATGAACGAGACAAACCACGCGATGCAAAAAGGCACGTGCATAGCCAAGCTCAGCAAGCCACGGTTAGCACCCCCCCCCCCCAGAAGCTCTGACTTGATGGCTTAAGTTATTTTTGGCTTTTCAGTGTTGGGAGTGGTACAACATGTAATGAGATTTTGGTGAGCTTTTACTTTGGCGTTTACAAATTCACTCTGGAACTTTCTTCCTTACCCCTTTTATTTCAAGTAGTTTAAAAATGCCTAACATTCTTTTATGACTTGGCAAAATTGGTTATGTACACTCTAATGTCCCTTTGATACTGCTGCATTAGTGGCTTGACCTCTTTTGCTTTTAATTTTTCTGTCAACACCAAATGCAAAAAGCGTGCAAAGCAAGGGAGATTATTGCCCATGCTCTACACAGCAACAGATTTATAAATACCAGCACTTCTTCCCCTTCAAAAGCAGTTTTTTTACTGATTGTTATTCTAGGTAAAATCTGAGTTTTTGGAGGCAACTGTTTCCCTGAAAATAAAACCGTGGTTTTTTTTTTGCCACCCAAAAAAGCACCAGGTCTTATTTTCGGGGGTCATCCACCAACCCTCACTAGCGCGCACTGCCCCCAGCCTTCTTCTCGCTGTCAGAGGCCTTCAGGAACTTCTTCTGTGGCTGGCAAGGCTTTCCTGAAGGCCTCTGCAGCCGGTAACAGCTCCAGATCAATCCAGAGCTTTGTCATCAACTACAGAGGCCTTCAGGAAAGCCTTGCCAGTCTTACTGGCTGCAGAAATGGGCCTGCAAGGTAGGTATGGGGTGTGTGCAAGGCCTGGCTACAACTGTTGTAGTAGTAGTAGGGCAGCTTCCCCCCCACATCCCCACCCTAGCTTAATTTTTAACCATGCACTCTGGAATGGGCAGGATCTTAATTAGGGCTTATTTTGGGGGTAAGGCTTATATTGGGCACACATGGCAAAATCAAGCTAGGACTTACTTTCAGGGTAGGTTGTATTTTCAGGGAAAAGTTAAGACGAGCCTTAATACTGAGATGGAAAAGTTCTTTATCTGCAAACTTGACAGTGACAATCTAACAATTATAGTTATTTCTTCCCCCACTAACAAAATGGAGTTGCACATTTTGCCAGCATATTGTTCTGTGCCAATATAAAATTATATATTGTGGATAAAATTGTACATTCCTTTCAGAGATCTTTTCTTTTTTCCTCCCAAAAAGGAAGTGCTAAGACTCAAATTAAACTAGGCCAAGTATATACGTTACATGTAAGACCTTGAGTTAACAACTGTAATGCAGCCGGCCCATCAGTCTTAACTCATGACTAAGCTAAATCAAGTCACCCGCGTGGTGATACAGTGGTTACAATGCAGTATTGCAGGCTAATTCATTGCTCACAGCCAGGAAGTTAGATCCTGAGTGGCTCAAGGTTGACTCAGCCAGCCATCCTTCCGAGATTGGAAAACGAGGACCTGGATTATTGGGGGCAATAGGCTGTGAAGTTTAGAGCAGGGGCCCCCAATCACCGGTCCGTGGAACAATTTCTACCGGGCCGCCGGTTTGCTGGGCGCCGCCATCTTGTTTTGATGAAAAAGTGCTTTCGCTGAGCTTTTCCGGGTAGAAAGCGGTGTTTGGGTGCTGAAAGAATCCTCGCGCCTTAGTTTCATCGAAGGGGGGGGCAGCTTCGAACAAAACTAAGGCGCGAGGATTCTTTCAGAACGCATGGCAAGGCGAGCCGAGTGACCGTCCCGAAGCTGATCGACACAGGTACAAAGGAGGAGTTGAAGGTGGCGGGGAGAAACGGGAGACGGCTGGCTGGCCGGTCGCTCGGCTTGCCTTGCCATGCGTGCTGATGCCTGTACCGGGCCGCGGATGATTTTGTGATGCCGGTACCGGGCCGCGGCACAAAAAAGATTGGGGCCACTGCTTTAGAGGGATGTAAAGCAGTAAGTCAGTCAGTCAGTTATTGCTATATTATGAACCTGGGTTTTGGCTTGTGGTTATGTACACACCAACAGTTGAGCAAACCAGAGATTTGCTTGGTTTTGACAGAACTGTCATAAAACATGGTCATATGATATTACAAACAGCCGTAAATGCATAACTGCAGGGGAAAAACCAGTCAAAACTTCAAAATTGGATGGATCTTAATGGTGATGAAGATTGTCATCCTGGTAGAGTCGTCTAAAAGTTGAGTAATGGTAACTGGGTTCCTTTTGTTGATTTGAAATGGTTCACTATTTATTAAGCTTCAGTCCCAGCAAGCAGCAAAATGCTTAAAAACCAAAAGTCCAGTTGCCATGATTCAGCTTTCAGACAACTGGTTCTTACATTAGGTGCACCCCAGAGGTCCAGTGTAATTTCCAACTGTCACTAAGTGACCAGTCATAAGTCAAATATTACTTGTACATGTATTTTTCTGTGATGACAGAATAGGTGCTGCGTCACCAAGTACCACTGTCCTTTCATCACAATGCATTTTTGTTCCTTTCCTGTAGAAATGTTACCCAAGACTACCAGAGTGGTTTCCAATTCATTACTGAAATTATTCATTACATTTTTCTGTTCTCTAAGAGCAAAGATCCCAGACAGAACTGCCATCTTTTCTCAAACTTTGAAACAATTCATTAGCCACTTCATGAACCTATATGTAAACCTAATTGTGGTGATACAAAGAATTGATCCCTCCAGGAATGCAAAGCACACAAGGATTTGTACCATAGTACATGATGTCTAGGTAGAATATTTTCTACAAACGATCAGAAATATTTATCTTAATCTGGGGAGTGTTTTATAGTTTTAATATTTCTATGACAGAATTAGGAAGAGACATTAACAAAGGAGTTACTACTAAGTAATGTGCAACAGAAAACTTTATTAGCATTGACACAGTCTAGCAGTTACTGGAAACTGGCATTAACCTCACAATACTAAGCCATTATACTGCTACAGTGCAACCAAATGTTACTGGCAACTTGAAAATTGTTCAGAACATCTAAATGCCTCCTCT